TCTATCTCTCCATATTAGAATACTTACTTTAAAAAATATACCAAGGACTATAAAAAATAGTTACCCTTTAGATACCCCTTTGTATCAGCCAGGATCCCGGCAAGAGAAGGGGCCACTCAGTTGGGTAGTTTGAGGAGAGCGTAAGAAAGGACTTGCCTGCCGAGAAGGAGGGAAACCCCAGTTGTGGACATCGCCCACCTAGCGCCATGGCCCACAGGGCAAGGCCAGGCCTACTAGGAGCATATTCTACTAGGAGTGAATTACTTTCAAAGGTTTTAAGAATCCCAAGGATTCAAAATCCTCTTTGGAGTGGCAGTAGAATTATCTGTGCCTCAGTTCCCTCACCTGTAAATGGGGGTCTTAATAGTATCAACCCTCAGGGATGCTGTGAGGAGTGAATGCTGTGTTACCAGGTAAGTGCTTGCCACATAGAAAGTGCCTGTGGGGGAAAAAAAACTAAGAAAATGTCAGTGTATGCCACTCCCTGATTTAACCGGTTGAGTCCCAAGAAGGAGGGGACTGCCTTCACCTCTGTTGCAGGCTACAGACTAGCAAGTCCTTGGGCTCTCAAAGCTTCACAGGGCTGGAAGGAAAGGATTCCTTCAGTCTTACCACCTCTGCTCCCTTGGTGCGGGGTGCAGGTGCGTCGGACTGGGGTGGGCATCCCCGCAGGGGCCTTGCCTGCGGCTCTGACTCCTCAGGAAGCAGCCCCGGTGGCTGTTTGAGAGTCAGTCCCTGACAGCCTCCAGCTAAACTCGTGTTTACGTCACCAGTTCGTTTGCCTTTCTGAATGCTGTTTGGATGTTAAAAACAATTACTAAATGTTTATTCTGGGTGAAAAAACTTGACTGAATTAAGTAACTGCTGGTGGGAAACAGGTAAACCTTCCATTCAGCTTCACTTTAATACCAGCTTGGCATTTCTTGATGTTAGGAGAAAAACCTCAGGAGTTTTTGTTGTGGTGAAAAATTAAGCTGGCTTATTTGATTCGTTCATTCGAGTTTCTGTAATAAGATACTTATGTACTCATGAGAGTCAGTGTACTTACACACATTAACTTGTCAGTTGTAGAGAGAGAAAGGATTTGATTAAAAAAACAACTAATTTGGCCTCTTGAGGGTTTTTTGTGGAATTAACTAACTGTGATTGAAAGGTTTCCTGTGGAGGTTTCGTTCTCCCTGGGTTGCTGCTGCGGTGCTTCCTGGCTGGGTTTTTATCCTGATGTCACTCTGCAGTTGGAAACACAATGGTCTGTGCTGTGGTTTGAATGTTTGTGATGCTCCAGAATTCATATGTTGAGCCCTAATCCCTGCTGTGCAGGTTAGGAGGCGGGAACTTTGGGAGTCCATAGGCTCCATTGTCCCATCAAAACATGCAAATTTGAAGAGAATGTTATTAAGAATTTAAGATGGTGACTGCAGAGGACTGAGTCCAAGCCTGGGGCCGTTCTGAGCGTGGGTCCCTGTATGATTGCCCCTGTTCACATACCCAAGGAGGAGCCTGTTTCCCTGGGAATGTCCCAATTTTAGCACAAAAATGTCCCAAGTCCCAGGAATACCCTCAGTGCCAGGCCAGCGGGGATCGGGGGGGTCACCCTACATTCAAACCAAGGCTGTTTGAACCTAGATTATCCTTCAGTCACCTTAGCTAGAATTTGACAAACCAGAAGGGAACTATTTTAAATTTTGCATACATGTACATTTGTGACACTTAAAAAGAATCTATTCTAAATCCTAATTCACATACACATATCTGAGTAGGGGAGAGAATTAACCTTTTCACGTTTTAGGGCTGCGAAGGTCTCTAGCCCTGCCCCAGCAGGATGCTCCTCTCCAGCGGTGGCTGGATGCAGAGGAGAAGGGATCACCTCCCACCTCGGTCCTGTGGGAGTGGGCGCCCTGGATCATGCTTGCAGGCCACAAGCAGTTGTACTAAAGAGAAGGCTCCTATGCTGATAAATCCAGCCCTCTCGCAGGTGCCTTACGGGGTGGAGTAGGTGCTGCCCGGGACTCAGACAGATCCGGGTTCCTCTCCCAGCACCAGAACTTGTAACCGTGGGCGTGCCACGCCGTAGGCTTCCTCTGGAAATGGACTTACCTTGCCTCGTAGAAGCTTAGAGGAGGACTGAATGGGGTCATGTGACTGAAGCACCAGCCCAGAGCCTGGCCTACATAAAGTAGTAGGTGCTTAATAAGTACAAGCTGCTGATGTGCAGGTGGAACCTTCACAACAGCCACACAGGAGAACTGGCTGGGAGGTGGCTCCTGGCTGACTCCAGAAAAGGTGGGTAACGAAGCTTGTGAGTGTGAATGCAGCTCCTAGACCTGACTTGCCCTTGCTGTGTGTCTTCCCTGCCTCGGGGGCAGGGCTGGGCAAGTGCTGGGGGCTTAATACACAATTGATTCTTGGACAAATGCGTGGAAGGTCACCCCCTCTTTTACTGAGTGCTTTTCTAAGAGCCAGAAGTGGCACTGTGACATAAATTCCATATAAAACATCTCACCTTCATGGACACATTAGTCTTGGGAGAAGATGCCTAGTTGACTTAAAATAATGCTAATGGTGGCAGGAATGGGCCCTGATCTTCCAAAATTAATACATCTTGACATTTTTAGGTCTTGAGCACACAGGCTTCTAAACATAGCCTGTGTCTATGTGTCTATGTCTATGTCTAAACATCGCCTACTGCATTCAGGATGGTTTCAGTTGCAAATGATAGTTGCAGCTCAAACTGACTCATTAAAAAAGGGAATTCTTTGGCTCATGTAACTGAAAACTATGTGGAAAAGCATTGGACATGAAGGTGCTTCATGGTGCTTCAAAGCTTCAGGCATTGACCCAGCTGCTCAGTGGCCTCTGGAATAGCCCATCTCTTGCCCCTGCTTTCCTCTCTTTTGGCTTCATTTTCATTTTTGGCATTTTCACATTTCAGCGCAGTGGCCAAACAGAAGGCCCCGGTAGCTCCAGGTTTTGTCTCACTAACTTCCTCCAGGGCGAGGAGCTGTGTGTGTGTGTTGTTGTTTGTTTGTTTTTTTTTTTTTTGAGGTAAAAGCACCACACATCTGTTGACAGTTTTGGAGGTCAGAAGTGTCTCACTGAACTAAAATCAGTTGTCACCAGGCTGCATTCATTCTAGAGGCTCTAGGGGAGAATCTACTTCCATGCCCTTTTTAAAAATTGAAGTGTAATTGACCTGTAACACTTTGTTAGTTCCAGGTGCACAGCATATTGATTTGATATTTCTATACATTATAAAATGGTAACCAGAAGAGTCCTCTTTGATGGTTCCCACAAAATTCCACATTCATTACCATCTGACTGGCCCATCTTGGGCCATGTGCTCACTCCTGGACCAGTCACTGGCTGGAGGGATCAAGCAGTGTCATTGACAAAGCCTAGGTCACATGGCCTAAGCCTAGGTCACATGGCCTAAGCCTAGGTCACATGGCCTGGGGGAGCAGGGAGGGGTAGACCCTCTAGTAAAACCCGGAAGCACTAACGGGAGAGGCGTGGCTTCCCAAAGGAGAACCGTGATGCTGTTACCCAGATAAGAGGAAACGGATGATGGAGAGAGCTTACTAGACAGACATTTTCTTTTTGGAATTTCTACAGATGTTTCCATCTGATTTAGGCAAACTTACAGGAGGAGCCTGTCACTCTGGGTTTCCCAGATTCACTGGTGTGGCATTTGAAGTTGCCCCCTTCCTACCTCCCAGCCCCAACTCCCTGTCACATAGAGGCAGAGCTGTCCTGCAGGGCTCTTTGCCCCTCCTGAGCTTTTGAACATGCTTTGCCTTTTACATGGAATGCCTTTGTTGTCCTTCCTTAAGCCTATTCCTCCCTCAAAACTCGGCTCAAAAATCTCATCTGTGAAGCTCCTTGGTTTCCTAGGGGCAGAGTCAGTGCCTAACTATATGGGTAGCATCCCATATAAATCCCTCAAACATGCACTCCTGGACGTTGTTTAAAAGATACAATTAACGTACCATAAAATTCACCCGCTAAGAGTATACGACTCAGTGAACATCAGTATATTCACCCGGTTGTTCAAACATCACCCCATCTAGTTCCAGAACGTTTTCAAGACCCCCAAAAGAAAGCCCAGACCCATAAGCAGTCGTCCTCCATTCTCCCCTCCCCCAGCCGCTGGCTAACACCAGTCTGCTTTCTGTTTCTATGGATTTACCTGTTCTGCACATTTTATAGCGATGGAATTAGACAGTATGTGGTCTTTTGTGTCTGGCTTCTTATGCAGCATAATGTTTCCAAGGTTTATCCACATGGTAGCATGTCTCAGTACCTCATTCCTGTTTATGTCTTAATAATCCTTTGTATGAACAGACCACATTTTATTCATCTGCTTGTCCGATCATGAGAATGTGGCTATTTCCCCATTTTGGCAATTACGAACAATGCCGCTGTAAACGGTCGTATGCGTTTCTGTGTGGACATATGTTTTCAATTCTCCTATGTCCGGAATTGCTGGGACATACGGTAATTCTATTTTTAACTTTTTGAGGAACTGCCAAACTTTTCCAAAGCAACTGCAACATTTTACATTCTCATCAGTAGTGGATGAGGGCTCTGATTTCTCTGCATCCTCACCAACACTTACTATCATCCGTCTTTTTTGATCAGAGCCATTCTAGTGGCTCTGAAGTGGCATCTCAGTGTGACTTTGATTTGCAGTTCCCTAATGACTAATGATGCTGAGCATCTTTTCATGTGCTTATTGGCCATTTGTGTATCTTCTTTGGAGAAATGTTTATTCTCCATGTGGAGAACAGGCTTGCCCACCAATGTGGGTTTGAATTCTGGTGCCGTCAGAACCTGGAACACTTGCTCCTCCCTACCCACTCAGGGACAGATAATCAAGATATCAAATTAAACCTGCTCTTCCTCCTGGGTCCCCCATCTGGTGGACAGGAACACCACCCAGGCCATCCTGAGCCCGGAGGCTGACCCAGGCCGTAGCACGCAGTGCAGGGCTGACTCAGGGAGGTACTCACAGATGTTTATTGAATAAAAATGGTCAATGGAGTGTCTTCCAGATGTGAAAAGCAGCCCTTTTGGGAAGAAAGAATATTCTCGGTCCACGTGGGGTTGGGTCAAACACCATGCCTAAGGCACACGGCTTGGGCCACCTCTGCATCAGCAGACGTGGGTGAGCTTGCTACTGAGTGGAACTCTTCTTCGTTTTCTTCGGGTTTCCAGGCTCCGCAGGAGTGAGAGGGCCCTGGGTGGGTCTCCCTCCACTTCCTCCAGGTCAGGGTTTTAGGGCCCAGGCTGCCCTTCCTCCCTTCCTCTGCCAACCAGTCGCCGTGACATCCTGGCTCACACCAGGGGGATGGGGTAGGAGGCGCAGGCGGCCAGGCCGCACATGTTCTTTCCGCGTTCAATGAGGAAGTACCTGGGCAGAGGGAAGGAGGTGAGGCCCGGCTGGTGGCTTCCTCACCCCTGGTCTTCCCCTCTGGATTTATTCATAAACAGCGTTGGGCTTATCTGAGACCCAGGAGATCTCTGACCTGACGTCATGAATAACTTCTTCCCTCTCCTTGGCCACCAAATGACCTCTCTTCCTTATTCTATCCACACCTCACTGCTCCCAGAATTCTCCAAGAGCCCCTTAGCCCTGCCTAGCTCTCATGTAGTTACAATCATCCCTGGGACCCCTGAGCTAACGGATGAGGACACAGAGTCCGAGAGGAGAGACAGACAAAGTCACATCAAGATATGTACCCAGGGTGGGTGGGGGTAGCTCGGTGGCAGAGTGCACGCTTAGCATGCAGGAGGTCCTGGGTTCACTGCGGGGGTTGGGGGGAAGGCATGTACCCAGGCCTTCTAGAAGGAGGGGCTGTCAACCATCAGGGGTAATCTCATTGCCTAGATTTCTCAAAAATGGGCCCTTCCAGGTGCTGGCTTAGTCCCAGGGGGCTCTGTGCTGTGGGCTGTTTCCTTGCGGTGGTCACAGACCCTACTGAGCCAAAGGCACTCCTGTTCCCAACAGAATCGCTAAGATCTGGGGTCCAGGATGGGAGAGGGGTTACTAGAGGGGTCTTGGGGGTGGGAAGGTGGCATTCTCACACTCCTCTCCCTCTGGCCTGGGGCGAGGGCTTGGCTGACCAGCTTCTCGAAACCATGTATTTGAGGTGTAGGGGGACTCCCGAGGGCCCCCAGACCTGGGACCTGGAAGCTGCTTACCCATTCATTCCCCACCGGGTACCCCAAGAGTTTTTCACGATCCAATATGGTGTCCCATTTTCTTCTCCGTACCCAACAGCCAGCACTGCATGGTTTACTTTATCTGGAGTTTTATGACAGAAAGGACTGGAAAACGAAAATAAAAAAGGCTTGAAAATATGGAAAGGGTAAAAGTGAAGACTCAATCACAGCCAACAAGTGATTTAGAGCAATGTTTCCCAAAGGGGGAACTCAGAGGCATTTAAGGTGGTGAATTAACTCCCATGTAAGTCCCAGGGCAAGAGAAGTATTCCCTTCAGCCCCTTTGGTTCTGCTCACTCAAAGGAGAGGGTCTGAGCGTGGTGCTGGCCCGGCTCCAGCAAGCAGAGCGGCCCTCCTGCCGCTCCCCCTGCGGGCAGCAGTGTCCAGTTAGTTTCACAGAGCATCGCTTCGTTGCCGTCTTTCTATGATTAAGTTGTACGGGGGTTGGGGTATGGTTCAGTGGCAGAGCGCATGCTTAGCGTGCACGAGGTCCTGGGTTCAGTCCCCAGTACCTCCATTTACCTTGTATTTAGAGCAAATATACAGGTTTCCCATTTAAGCCCATGAACTAGTTCCCATGAGGAAATTCTGGGAATTTCTAGAGGACAAACTGTAGCGGTCACATATTCATTCAGCTGATGTGTAGCTGAGTTGTTGGGATGTGCCAGGCCTGAGGCAAGGTACAAAATACTGCTCCTGAATTTAGGAAGCTTCCTTTGGCAGACGACTTCTATACAGTGGACTGAGGGCTGTGACAGCCGGGAGGCTGTTGGGAGCCCAGCGGATGGGATGCAATTCAGCGGGGCAGGGGTGGGGTGAGGTCAGGAAAGGCTTCCCTGAGAAGGCAGCAGACATGCCTAAAACTACAAACTCTTCAGTGGGGCTGGAGCGGGCACAGGAAAGAACAGGGCGGATGCAAGTGATTCTGATGGAGATGAGCCTGGAGAAAGGAGGACCAGATTAGGAGGGTCTCCCCAGCCAGGCTAAGACACGGAGAATGTAGAAGGTGGTATGGCAGGAAGGGTGTTCCAGGAGGCTGACTGGCTCGGAGCGGAGGATGGACCAGTGGTGGGGGCACAAGGACAAGCCAGTTTGGAGGCAACGGTGGACAGAGACATGGGGAGGGAGTGAGAGCACATTTCTGAGCAGCGTTAGTGGGGCAGCGTCTGATGACAGGGAGGAAACACATAGGATCTGAGCTCTCCATGGGCCGTGCAGCCAGATGTGGCAGGGAGGCCCTTGGCTCTACGGGTCCAACGCTCGGCAGAGACCAGGCTGCCAGACAGAGACTTGGAGATTCTTGGCAAACTGTTGTCCGTGGAGTTCAAGGAGTGTCTGAGGAGAAAGCCCTGGAGAACACAAGCATTTAGGAATGGCCAGACAAAGAGGAGGCCACGACGTAGATGCTGGGCAGCTGCCAGAAGCGGCTGAACTCACATTGCAAAATAGGCAAGAGGCGTGCATGAGATGAACCCCGTGTTAGACGTGTCAGCAACTCGGGTTTTCTGGGAAACCCTGCGGTGAAGCCTTCAGCACAGGATCCTGGCATCTGAGAGCAGCTACTTTCCCTTCCCTATTTCACATCTTCAAATTTTTGAACATAGATTTTCATAACCAGAGGCAGCTCCTCTGTTGAGGAAGAGTGAGCCCTGGGCTCCATGTGGCCTGGCTCTGACCTCCCGCTCCTCCTCGCCACACCGGAGGCCACGGGTCCTGAGCCTCAGGGCTGAGGACCCCGGCCCCTCCCGTGCAGACTGTCGGGCCCGGCTTACCTGGAGTAGATGCCCTTTCTGTACAACAGAAAGTCGTTAGTCACCTCGAAGGCAAAGCTCACGGGGTTGTGCAGGCCGACCGCCTCCACCATCGACGCCTCGTCATTCTGTGGACAGACGGAGGGGCTGACAGCTGGACACACAGGCTCTGCCACCTCCTGACCCTACTTAGAAGCGTGACCCTCTGCCCCAAGGTAGGGGACAGAGGCGCAGAGCAACGTTGACGTCCAGGAGGAAGCAGAGGGAAGAGAAGGCTGTTTTAGGCCAAAAAGCCGCCACCAAGGGGGAGCTGCCCCTCCTCACAGCAGAGCTGGGCCATAGATATTGGGGGCTGGTATGGGGACCCCGCCCTCTTGTGTCTGAATGGTCAGGAGCCTTTGGGATTCCAGGTCCTTTTGGCTAACAGGTCCCTCCTCCGAAGCTGTGGCTGCACTGTGACCTCCCTCGGTTTCACTGGGCTGGTCGTGGGCTTGTCTCTGTCCCCCTCCCTGCTCTGCTCCTAGAGAACCCCCACTCTGTGGGGTCAGGCCCAGGGTGCAGCATGGACCCATTCATTTGCGCACTCACAACCATTCAGCAAGGTGCTTCCATGAGCCAGGGGCTCCAGAGGGTGCAGAGGTGATGTGACTCCAGCTCCCAGGATCCCCTGCACCCACAAAGCCAGTCTAAGGAGTTTTTGTGGCAGAACACAGGGTTTAGGAGGCTGTGCACATATAAGGCCCAGATGGTGGTGGAAACGAGAAGACCCAGCAAAGAGCTGTGTGCCTAACAAGGACGCATCCCCATCGGCTGGGGAAGGCAGGTGGGAGGAAGCCAGAGGCTTCCTGGAGGCTCCAGCTTGGAAGGGAGCTGCGGAGGCCAGGTGAGAGCAGCAGCTGGAATCCCCTGGGGAGCTTTAAAAAAGCCCAGTGTCCAGGCTGCACCCCAGACAATGAGATCCACATCTCTGGGGTGGGTCCCAGGCAGCAGGAGTTTTTCAAGCATCTCTGCTGGGAACCACTGGGTTAGCATGAGTGAGGAGGCCATTCCCCTGGCTGGCACCCTTTGGGAGTTGAAATGAGCGTGAGCTGAGGCCAGATCTCTGCTGATGGGGAGGACATGCTGGAGGGGTCGAGGCACCCAGCCTTCCCTCAGTCCTCCCTCCCTGGAGGGGTGGGCAGAGATCCAGCTGCAAAAAGCGAACAGCTGGTAAGTAAGTGGCTTCCTTTCTTGTGTTCAGTAAAGGCCTTGTAAGCGCAGACAGGTCAATGTAGAGGAGACAGGAAGGCCTGCCCACCAAGAGGGGAGCGTGTTGTCGGCCCGGCCACGGAGGGCTGGACCCAGTGCCGGCTGGCCCTTCAGGGCCCTCCGGGTGTCTCAGACAAGGCTTGCCTGGGCACCGGGCAAAAAGGATATCTCTGAGCCCCGCATTCATCTCTTAGTGGGATACAAATGGGCCAGAGTCGGTCAGCCCTCGGTGGGTGTGTCTAAGAGAAACTGGCTATTTTCTGCAGATAAATGTATCACAGAAACATTCCAGTTATAGGTTGTAGGTTCTGGAATGACAGGATCTCGGTTCAGATCCAGGTTCCACTTCTTAGCTCTGTGGCCTGGGGCACATTGCTTAACCACTCCAAACATGTCTCCTCATCTATAAAGGGAAGAGGATAATGACACTAATCCAGGGTTGTCTGCTGTCTAAAGGAGATAATCTGTGTTAAGTGGTTGGTACGGCACCTGGAACGCATGCCAGAAACTTCCGCTGTTACTACCACTGCCGACTGCCTGGCACGTGCTTCAGTTAAATGGTAGCTACTGTCACACAGACATCACGTTGTGACTTACACATACATGTGGGGGCACGCAGCCTCAGCCTCACAATCTCAGCTATACACATCACACCTAACACAGCCACAGATTCTTTCACTCTTTGAACAGATTCTCCCACACTCACAGGCACACACTCGAGTCACAAGGGCTGTTCACACATCCAGCTCTCTCTTGGACAAACAGGATATGACCATACTTCTCCATCCACTTGCAGTGAGGTGTGGCTGTGTAACTTGTTTTGGCTTAAAGAGCCAGTGCATCATTTACCAGTGTCTCTCCCTCTGCCTGGGTACTGGAGTGAAGCCAATGACACAGAGAATAGCCCTGCTTAAGCTGAGAGACACGTCACAAGAGCGAGACACAGACTCTGTTTTAGGCCATTCAGAGTTTGGAGTTGTTACTGCAGCATAACCTGGCTTATCCTGACGGGGACGCACATTCGTACTCAGTGCATTCACAGTCAACATTACACAGACATACGCTGACGTCACACGCATGCTCACGTTCTCTCTGGCAGGATGGGGATTACTGCTTGCATTTTATAGGCAAGAAAACTGAAACACAAGGATGAAGACTTGTGAGGACTCAGGTCAGAACCACAGCATCTGACTGCCAGTATCTTGTTCTTTCCCTCCCATCCTCCACCTTGCTGCCACCATGGAGACTGAGATTCAATGGTAAAGTGATACGCTGCCAGGAAAGGCTGCCCTGCCATGCCCTGTCACCAACACCTGGTCATCTAACAGCAGTGGAGACACTGGCTTCCTTATCAGAACACACTCTCCATCCAAGAGAAGGATCGTACTCACCATTGTGATGTTGACTACATCCTTGACAAAAGCAATGGCCTTACTGGGCTGGAACTTGCAGTCATCATCCTGTTCAGGGCAGCAGAGGGCATGGAATACAGGTTAGGGATGCTCGGCCCTGAGCTGAGACTTCAGGCCTCCCCTATACAATTTGATAACATTTATAAAGCAAAAGCTACAGTGCCAGGGGTGGTGGGTGGGGTCACTTAAGAGGGAATTAGAGGCATCCTTGTGCTCAAGGACCATAGTCTAGTGGGAGGAGATGGTCCTGTCTGGCTTTGGCAGAGGTGGGCTCGCGTGGCACTTGGTGGGAGCATGAGGAAGGGCCTAACCCAGTCCATGGAAGCTTGCTGAGAAATGGAGGCAAGTAAGAGCCTGCATGGGAGGCGAAGGGAGGGCTAGTCTCAGCCCGGGGAATTGCAGACAAGAGGTAGGCGCAGAGGTAGGTCACGTGGAGGGAAGAGCAAGGCCTGAGACGAGAGAGGTGGTCAGGACGACAAGAGGGGCAGGACCTGACATTAGGAACCAGTGGGTGGTTTGGTGGGAGCACAAGTTTAATGATGGGGGGAGTAAAGTAACAGACTAGACTGGAAAGAGATCCGGGTGGGGTGGGGGTGGGACGGGACTCGAAGGACAGGCCAAAGAGTCTGGACTTTCTCTTGCAGGCCCCAAGGAGCCTTTGAAGAGTTCTGAACAAGGCAGAGTGTGGTCAGAGCTGGGTCTGAGAGGCTACTCTGGTAGCCCCCGGGTGGAGGTGGTCCAAGGAGAGGCCACCTTAAGTGACCTAGGATGAAGGGATGCCAAGGTCCGAGTAGGGGCAGGGACACAGGCTGGACCAAAGGATATGACATGAGTAAGTCTATGATGATGTCAGAAGGCTGACTGAAGCGAGGGTCTGGCAGGAGACCACCCCTAGAACAGACCACTGGTGACCAAGAGGTTTTAGGGAAGGTTGGTGCCTCCCATCACTGAGTGGGGAAATACAGGAGGAGTCCCAGGTTTGGGGGAAAGATGAGGTGCTTAGCCGTGGACAGGCTGGGTTGAGGTGATGACAGGAGAGGCCCTTGCACGTTGGGCAAGCGCTGGGTGAAGTGGGTGTGGGTCCAGGAGTGTTGTCAGCACGAGGCTGACTGTGGACGAGCTACTGATGGATGGGAGGGAAGAAGCCAACAGATGGTGCTCTGGCGCACGCACAGCAGCAGGAGGGGAGCCGGGGGAGCCAGAGCCACGCCCGCGAGGCACGGGAGAGGTGGTGAGGAGAGTGACTGTGCGGCCACAGGGAGGGCGGTAAGAGGCCCCCGGGTTGGTGAGCGCCAGGCTCAGGTGAGCAGAGGAGGTGAAGGAGTGAACCTGAAGAGACAGCTCTGAGAATTCAGGTGGGAGCCGGGAGCCCTCAAGAGGTGTGGGGAGAAGGGATGTTTTCCGAGGCCGGGATAAGAAGGAGACGGGGAGCGCTGCAGACCAGGAAGCCGAGCCCAGGCTGCCCGGAGTTACCTTGCCCTTGTAGGGGTAGGTGTCTTCACCCATGATGCCCCTGTTGTACCGGATGTACTCGAAGGCCTGGCTGGGGAGACCCCTGCAAGAAGGACACACAGCTGTGCGCACCTGGGACTGGCCCCAGTGGAGGTGGGGCCTGCCCGGCTCAGTGACAGGGAAGTCCCCGAGGGGCTAGCAATGCCACCGCACTTGCTTGGCCTCAGGACATAGCTCAGAAGAGGCTATTAAGGAGGGCCCAAGGTCCAGCCGCACGAGCTTCTGCGGGACAGGCCCCTCGAAGCCAGGCCCCTACTCTGTCAGGAGCGGGCACTCCCACAGGACAGCCGACAGTGTCTGCCCGGCTCACCAATATCGCCACCGCTGTGCCTGCGGGGCCCCGCCTGGCAAACACCACTGTCTGACCCCTCATAACCTAGAGAGGTAGATGGTGTTCTTTCTTGCGTCTCAGAAAGGCTGAGCAGCTTGCCCAGGGCCACTCACTGTAGCCAGCATCTGGCCCCAAAGTGGATCTTTCCTACATCGCGTTGCCTGTAAACAGAATTCAACAGCTCCCTGCCACAGCTCCCCAGCAATGCCCGGTCCCGTCTCTGTTTCTCCTCCACAGCCTCTGTCACCACCCCATCTCTGGCACACCTGTTTATGGCCTGTCTGGCCCAGCTAGAACGTCAGCGGCCGGATCCCCTGTACCAAGACACATAGCAGGTGCTTGGTCAGATTTGCTAAATGGATGAAAAAATGACCCCTTCGAAAATGGTGGGGCCCCAGAGCACCCTTTCAGACTCTTGCAATGGGTGGTGTTTGTGAATGACAGAGAGGAAAGTGACCAAAAATGAGGTGGACGGTGAGGCTGAACATGACATGATGGTGGGTCAGTAACTAGGCTGTGACTTTACCCAAGGTCTCGGCCCCAGGCCCGGAGCATGCTGTCTGCAGGAGGCCCCCGTGTTGGCTGCTGCCACAGCAGCAGGTGGAGCACGAGGCCTTCCCAGGACTCGGCCCCAGGAGGAGCAAGGGCCCTGGGGCTGGGGGGACGGGCCACAGGTAGGTGAGGGGAGGCAAGGCTGGGAGCATGCCCTGGGGAGCACGAGGGGCCTGGCTTTATGGGTGTATGTGCTGGGAAAGCCGCCAATCCTGAGGAAAGGTCTGAGAGCGTTGCATGTGGGGAGGAGACAAGGGCTACAGACATACGGAAACTTGCGCAAATCCCTAACAGCCTGTTCTGAAAACGTGCCAGGAAAACAGGCCCAGCGAAGACGCAGCCTTCCTGCCTGAACACCGAACCACATCTACAAAGGTCCTTCGTGCAGCCGGCTGAGCTGGGGTGGCCAGAGCTTCAAGAACTTGTAGAAAGGCCAAGCGGACATCTGTGTGTGGGTCTTGGTTTTGGAGGATGATGCATTTTTCACTCTATTAATTCTTTTGGCTGCTCGCCCAGAGGCCTTGGTGGCTGATGAGGTCAACCATGCTGTGAGGTGAAATCCGGGAGACACCAGGGAAAGAGGATAGATTTTGGAACCAGGCAGGCCTGGGCTTGGATTACAACTCTGCCTGTTCTGGCTGAGAGGCCTTGGGCGTGTGAGGTGCCCTTCCCTCCCTAAGTGAGGCCAATTTTGCTAGCACTGAGGGCAGGGTCTGCGGCAGCGCCCAGCACATCCTGGAAGTGATCAGCGGGAGATGAGAAGGGACTTCAGGCCCCCCCGCCCCGGTCGGGGACGTACCCTTGGCAGCCATGATTGTTGAAGTTCTGGGCGCAGTCCACCAGCTGCTGTTCTGCCTGGAGGGAGGAACACACCCAGTGAGCTGAGAGCGGAGAGCCTTCTTGGACGGGCGTGGGCGCCGGGCCTCCCCTGCTGACCCACGCCTGTGGTCCCATCGGCTCTGGGTCAGGAGGACCAAGTCATAAGCTCCCCAAGGGCAGGGAGGGTCTCTGTGTGTGTGAGGTGCTAGCCCAGCTGGCGGCACACATCACAGAAAAGTGCACTGATGACCTGGCAGCCAAGAGGGCAGGTGAGGGTATGGGGACCCGCGTGTCTGAGTGCTGCCCTGAAGGGCGCACATGCCTGTGGCTCGGGGGTCCGTGGTGGCATGGGGGGGGAGGGGACAGGCCTCCCCTCAACCAAGGCCCTCGTGGCCCTCGCCAGCCCTGCCCTCTCTCCTCTCCCTCTTCCCCACACAGGAGGCAGGGGCTGGGCAGTCACCCCTCACTCTGGCGGTCAGTAGTTGAACACATGTCCCGGCTCTTCCCTCCATGAAGATGTCCAGCTTGGGAGAGGACACAGGTCCCAGAGGGCTGCCTCCCAGGCAGGCTCTGCTCTCTGAAGGCCCTAGGTTGTCAAACTGAGGAGCAGCCAGACCCAGCCGGGAAGGAGCCCTTGGGCCATTTACTCAGTAAGCCTCATTTCTTTCTAAGAAAAGTGTTCACTGAGATTTGCATACCAAACGTCCATGGGGCTGGGATACCTGAAGTCCAACTGAAGGCCAAAGCCAAAAAGAAGCCTGAAGGCCCAGGCTGTGACCCCTGCAGGAGGTGCCCCCCCAACCCCGCCCGTGGCTGGTCGCTCACCAGAGAGAGCAGATTCCCGGTGGCGATGGCGACGGCTGACTCCAGGGCGCCTGTGGTGGAGAAGGTCCAGCAGCTGCCGCAGCCGCCCTGCAGGTGGGGGTGGGGGGCGGGGCGTCAGAAAGCCACGCCCCACGGACCGGGCCCCTGAGAACCCGGGCGCCCCGTGACTTCAGTCTACAAAGCCCTGGTGCACATGTGTCCGCTCTGACCCTCGCGAGCCCTGTGAGCCGCACCCCTGCCCCCGTGCCACAGACGAGGAGACCGAGGCTTGTCAAGGAGACAAGGAGCAGCGCCCGCGCACTCCTAGGCCTGGCCCCACCTCACGCGTCCCATCCTGTGGTCTCCTGGCGCTCCTTATGCTGGCTCCTCTTCCTCCCACGGTTTCCCAGCAGACGGACTCACCAAAGTCCTGTTCCTAGAACCTTCTCTCTCACCTTTCCACCTCCAATCTCATTCCACCCACAGTCCTGTTACACTAACAACTCCCAAACCCTGCCTCGGCCCTGACCTCCACCCAGACCCACACATCCCGGCCCCCAGATGATCCCACCCGGACGCCCCAGACTCTGCCCGTCCTTCCCCCACTCCATCCACCTCACCATCTTCTGCCACAGTCACTGCCGTGCCCCGTCTCCTGACTCGGGGCCTGGAGCCTGCCTGCCGGGGCACATCACAGCTCTGTCCCACACCGCGCATGTGACCTGGGCAATTCGCTGCCCCTTGAGCCCTCAGTTTCTTCACAGGAACAGCCGTGCTTGCCTCACAGGGCTGTTGGGGGGTAGATAAGGCCGCGCCTGTCAGGCAGTTACCCCACGGGCTCAGGAACGTCACCTGCTGCTGTCTGTGCTTTTCTCTCAGTCTCCTCTGTCCTTGTCCACCCCTCACTGGCTCAGTGCTCCACATTCTACTTGTGCAACGGCTCCTAAGATTCCCTTCCCCACTGCCCTAGCTGAGTCCTCGTCGCTTGTCTCCATGCAAGGAACCTGCACACTGGGCTCCCCCCGGAGTCTCTTCCTCTCGGATCCTCCCCTCAGCAGGGAGGGGAGGGCCTGGTCAGAGGTCTCCAGCTGGTCAAGGAGGTGGGTTGGCCATGGCTGAAGGAGGCAGAGCAGGGCTGAGCCACCAGCACTGGCGTTGAGCAGACACCTGGCTGGAAGTGCCCTCTGTCACCTGCTAGCCTTGTATCTTGAGCAAACCACCTTCCCTCAGAGTTTCCTCCTCTGTAAAGTGAGAAACCCTCAAGGCTGCTGAGCTAACGTTGGATCTCGCTGCTGGATCTGTAACCACACAGCGGCCACGGCGAGAGACCACACACACCTACGAGAGTAACCACCTTGTTCTGGCCGCTTCGCCCAGGGGGCTCCGTCCTGCCCGACCACCAGGAACAGTTCACATGAAGACCTGGAACATTCTCGGCAGTTCTCACTTGCCCAAAGCGTTCAGGCTTCCACACATAATACTTGTTGCTCTGAACTGTCATTGGATTCTCAAATGGTCTAGAAACTGCCATTGGGTCTTGGGGGAGAGGGCTGACTTCATTATACCCCTCTGATCCCTGGGAAAGGAGACTAGTTTTGGCTTCTGGGTGCTGGTCTGTACATTGAGATCACTAGGCAGGCTCTGGGAACCCAGTGCGCCTGTCTAGGCAGATTTACAGCTGTGCCACATGGCTTTAAGGGGAAGGAGAAATTGTTTCTTGTGGAGAGTTGCAGTGGAAAGCCAAGTGCTTCCAGGAGGGAAACCTTCACCTCGTATTTCCTGGGATCGAGAGGTCACACTTTCTGAAGAAGGTCACTGCACTGTCACTTTCAGGGGACAGCAGAGGGTAAGTCCAGAGTCTCCAGAACAGAGCTTGTACTGGGACCCCTGCCCCAGCCAGAGGCCCAGTCCTCAGCCCTGAGTGCTGGGAAGGCACCACCGCTGCCGTCCTAGGACAGTATGCCCTGCAGGGGGCGCTATTCCCAAAGAGCCGGCCCTTGAGGGGCCAGTCTCCTGCTCTCGGCCACAGCATGTCTGAAATGCTGGGTTTCATTGTGATCACTGACTACCGGCAGCTACCTTAAGGGAAGCAGCCGGCCAGGGAGGGGCTGGACCCTGGTGCCTTGTGGAGGGGATAAGTGGGCAGTAGGAATGGGGTCCTAGTGTCCAGTTTCTGAAGGGCTCAGAGAATGTTATATTTTGGGTGATTCTATAGGAGAGACCAGGGGAACTTAGGACGGTGGGGTCAGAGATGAGAGTGAACAAGTAAACTTCAGGCTAGTAAAGAAGTACTTTTCCATCCTTCAGAGCAGTCCATAAAAACAATGACGACTTGGCCTTTCAGAGGAAGGCAGCTCGAGAGAGGATGAGTTAAAACCAGAGTTGGGGATATACTTGCTGTGGTTTTGGGATTCTTTGGGGTTTTCTTCCTGGTAAACTGTCTGAGAATGTGGTTACTTTTTGGGAAAAGGATGGGGATTGTCATGAATACCTGATTTTTCACCGGTGAGACAAAATTTCCTTTTTTCCGCCAGTCCATAGAGGGTGGGTAGGGACCAGTACCTCGAAGGTAGTTCCCTTTGGTGGCTGAGCAATTCTGAAACAACAAATTAAAATTTTTTTCAGGGGAAAAAAGAAAACCTTTTCTGATAGAAAAGTGCATAATTAAAATGGTATCACCAAGAGAGAATGAAAAAGAGTGTGCCTGTCAGAACCATCCCACCCCCATCTATTGGGGCCCAACACTGAATGACAGGTGCCTTTCGGAGCTCGGCATGGGGGAGTTAGGACAAGGTAGCCAGAGTTAGCAAACGGAAATACAGTTCACCAGTTAAATTTGAGTTCCACATAAAAGATAAATAACTGTTGTGCATATCCTGTGCAATATTTAAGATATACTTACGGTAAAATATTGTTTGTTGTTTATCTGAAATTCACTTTTAACTGGGCATCTGTATTTTATCCGGCAACCCTAGGTTTGGGGTCTGCCTTGTTGAGGCCATGAGCAGGGACTGAGGAACTGCTGGGAGCTGACCTCTCTGGATCCCCCCGAGAACCCGGGGCACCCCAGCTGCAGCCAGGGGTGGGGCTGAATCTGGCTGGAAGCAGAGCAAGTTATGAGCTTATTCCAAAGGTTTGAGCGAAAACATGCAGATTTGGTCACAATGAATAACACCCACCTGAGGCTCTGACCAAAGATACTTGCGTTTAAATTCAGCAAAGCTCATGTCTGAAAATTCGTTCAGCCCCACTGGAACAGAGAAGGGAGAACAATCAGCAACAACAACAAAAACAGAAGAGGAGCAGAAAAAATATAAACAGAAAAAATAATGAAACCCTACGTTCACTGTCCTAGTTATAGTCCCGGCAACTTGGCTCCATTCAATTTTTAAATGTGGTATACAGTTGGGCCTTGAACAACATGGGTTTGAACTGCGCAGGCCTACCTATATAAGGATTTTTTTCAGTAGTGAATCCTACAGTGCTACCCTATCCCGGGTTGACTGGATCCTTGCCTGTGGAGCTGTGGATACGGAGGAGCCTTGGATGTGGAGGAACTGTGTCCACAGAGGAACCGTGTACATGAAGGGCTAACTACAGGTTATACTCGGATTTTCAACTGTGTAGAGGGTCACTGCCCCAACCCCCACGTTGTTCAAGGGTCAACTGTAATTCAGTATGCTAAGGTCAACCCTCACTGTGCTTTAGAATTCCCTGGGCTGTACCCCACAGATGCAGTGGGTCTGGGGTGGGGCCTGGGCACCCACTTTTTTGGAAACTCCATTTGTGAGTCTGATGGATGTCTGCGTAAAGAACCACCGCACCAGCACCAGGTGCCTTCTCCCCTGCTACCGCCTTCAGTCTTCATAACACCCCAGCAAGGGAAGCATTATTCTCTCCACTTTACAGTCAAGTACAACTTGAGAGATGTCAACTTCCCCATAATTCACACAGCTAACACTGGGCAGAAATGAGATTTGAACTCAGATTTCCTCCCACCTCATGCCTGTTGATCATATTTCTATCTTAGCTGACACTGCCATCATTTCCGAGCCCTCAGTGTATGTGCGGTGTGTGTGTATTTCTACTGAAACTAACCCGGAGCAAAGGCAGATGCCCTGAGAGGCTGCTCAGGAATCCAGAGTATGTCTCTAAAGAGGCAGGGCCCCCCACAGCAATCCAAGGGCTGAGCATCTGGGCTGGACCCTCAGATGGCAGCATCAGGGCAGGGGCTTCTGTACAGCCTCCTGTAAACTTCACAACCACCCAGAGGGGTACCAGCTCCATCCTAAAATTACAACCCCTTGAATCTCACAGAGAATAACAGCAAAGCCAGAACCTGAGGTCAGCCAGCCACAGCCTCAGAGCCTGGGTTTCTGCTCCTTCCACCCCAAGCCCCTAGTGGGCCCTTTAATCAGCGGATGCTACTAATTGATTTCTTTCCTGATCTGAGACTCTCCCTTCCCCTGCGGACGAGACATCTGGAGGAAAGGCAGCCCCACAGTACTTTTAAATGTGTGGTTCCCAGCATTGTGGGCATTTATCTTCCTCCAGTTGCTGACAAACACTTGCAGCCTGTGGTGGTACTCCTCCGAGCTGTATTTCTTTTGGTGCTGAAACAAAACACATCAGCGATAAGTCATGGAAACAGGGTGCAGCTCATCAGCAGGAGACGGCATTGTTTTCTAAAAGGAGGACTGGAGGTTTCCTTTCTGCCATGATCTTCTGGCCAAATCTGTGTTAGTAGGTGGGACACTGTCCTGGGTCTCTCTGATGACAGTCAGGAAGTTACAAAGCAGACCGTCTGCCTCTGGGGACCTGTGGCCAGAATGAAGCCCATGCAGCTGCGGGAGAGTCAGCCAGCAGAACAAGAGGCCCCGGAGAAAGACCTGCCAAGTGCAGGTTGCACCTGGACAGCACAGCTGGTACTGGGTCAAGTTGATGGCAGAAATCACCATTTCTCAAACACATATGCACCACTGTCTTCCAACTGATTCTGCAGCCAGCACGCAACGTGATCTGAACATAAAATATGGAAGTAAATCTCAAGGCTTGAAAGGCTGTCAGCTGACTGACTTCATCACTGGAGACCACTGTTTGGAAGGGGTTCCTTCAGTTAACTGACTCTTCCCAGCGCTTGACCGATTTCTCAGTCTGGAAAGACCCAGGAGAGTGAGGTTGGAAAATCCCTCTTCATTATCCAAACCTAGCAGTTTGGTCTAATAACAGAAAATTTACCGAAGTGAAAAACTTCAGAAAGAAGAAGTTGAACACTAACCTGCACCATCCATGACTTAAAATGAAACTTCTCTGCAAAAAGAAAAAAAAAAATTAGGCCTGGGTGTCTTGCAATAACCTCCGTAGTCAAGTAGGGCACATCAGAACTGATCTGCGTTTTAGGAATCTAGGCTAAATTTAAAGCACCAAAAATGGTGTTATCTAATGCAGAATGTAAGAAGTAACACAAACTCTTACTGCTTTTGTAGTCCAATTAATTTGGAAAAGTGATACGCCATTAACCTAAGATATTAATAATCAGGATGGTGGTTATCCTTAGTGGGGATACAGAGGGGGCTTCTGGGGTGCTGGTAATGTTCTATGTCGTCATCTGGGTGCTGGTTTCATGAATGTGTTTAGATTCTGAAAATTCACTGAAGTGCATAATTTAATTTGTCCACTTTTCTGTATTATGTGATAATTCAATAAGAAGTTAATTAAAAAACCCATATACCCCAAGGATCAGCAAAAATTTTTTTAAAGGGACAGATGGTAAATATCTTGGACTTTGCAGTCTCTACAGTCTGTCACAACTACTCAACTCTGTCCTCGTGTGTGAAAACAAATAGGTGTGACTGTTCCAATAAAACTTTATTTACAAAAACAGGCTGGCTAGTCACTTGTGGACTCCTGCTATATCTACCTGTGTACATTCTTAAGTTATGTAAAAATTTAATTTCAAATTTAGTAGCTGCAAAGGATGTATTCCAGCTTACTGTAAATAATAGCATTTTAAAATAAGATTGTTACATCATTCTTTTCAAGCTGGCCAACGAAATCCATATACCATCAAGATTTGATACCCACCATCAATAATCATGAACGAAGCTCTTCTATAAGAACTGGATATTTTACATATTTTATTCTTCTCTTTGAAACCCCATCTCCATCCCAGCCTCACAGAGTTTTATCCTAAGGGAGCATCTGTTTACACTTGATCGCTCTAACATCTTTTTATGCAACAACAAGAACAGAAAGTATAAATGTGAATTACTTATACTTCCTGTGACCCATACACCTCTGAATATTAAAAAAAATTATTCTGGATTGAGTTATCATCATCAATTATTAACACTCCACCTGATTAAAACATTTTGTATATATTACACCTTATAAACAGTAACTGTAAACCTCTGTAGGAAAAGCTTCTCTTAATGAGGTAAATTGAACCATACTAACAACCCCCCTCCCTGTGGTTGGATATTACCTATTTTTTTGAATGGGTTAGCATTAATTCTGGTCTTTGTTTTCATAATAGGTCAAAGGGATGAGAAATTCTGCTCCAATAAGCAGGATTGCTCATTGCTTCTTGCTTCTGGGAACAGAAGGCAATTTTTAGAGTAATGTCACTCAATTCTTTGAACTCCTTCCTACGCCCCAAATCACATGGTGCTCTATTACTCAACGTTATTTCTAGAACCCCATCAACTGATACGTAGAAGTCCTTTCTCCTCTTGGAAGTAAAGGGTTTGGAAATTGATTCCCTGTCTGTGCCGATATCACTTGGAATTTTTTGTGTTCTCCCACGGATCCATACCCTGAAATCTGAAGATCACTGCTGTAGAGAATTTAGATCTCCCCTTGTGGGTCACAGATCTGTTCCAGAAACCAAGCAGTAGTCCTTTTCCCTGGGAATGAAATGCACATCTCTCCGATACATGCTCTTTGTGGGGCTTCAGAGGATTGCAAATCCTGGTTAAGGCCCTGCTACAGCTGATGGCTTCAGAGGAAGACAGACCTCAACCTAGGACCAAAGTTTGAGGCAGATGGAGTTTAGGACAACTGACTAGTGTTTGCCTCTAGCGGTTTCAAAAGCAATAAGCAGGTGTGTAAACCCAGATTACTTTTCATTCACTGGAGGTCAGTGGAGGAAAAAGCAAGAGATGATCTTGGGGCCAGGCCAGAAGTTTCTGCTGGTGACCCCTGTGCCCCAACCTCAGATAGACCCATTTCAATCCACTGTGACTTTTGAAAGAAAGCATACAGACCTTATGTAATACCCTGTCTGGGGGGTCATGTGAGAGTGAGCATCTAGAACATGCGTTAGCAAACTCTGGCCTGCTGCCTGTTTAGGAATGGCCCACCAGCTAAGAAAGTTCACACTTTTAAATGGTTGGGGGAAAAATTATTTTGTAGCACCTGAAAATCATTTGAATTCAAATTTCAGTGTCTATAAATAAAGGTTTCCAGGAACACAACCCACTCACTCATTTACATGCTGCCTATGGCTGCCTTCAATGCAGAACTAAGCAGCTGTTACAGACTGTGTGGCCCACAAAGCCTAAAATACTCCCTACCTGGTTCTTTATAGGCAAAGTCGGCCAAGCCCGGCTCTGGAGTTGAGACAGCTTCCAGCGCCAGCCCTCCTCCATACAGGCCATGCAGCCGGGGTAAAGCACGGCCCGGCTGGGGGGCAGCTGGGTTTAGGCTGGGACTGAGCTGGAGCTTGGCACCCTCCCAGGGCAGTCTTGCAGACTGGGGGGCTTTCTTGCATAAATGGGTGGGGAGGGATAAGGTAAGATTCTGGCTGTAAAGATTTAGCCTCAGTGATCTTTGTCTAGCGCCCAGGCTGCTCTTTGGTTGCTCTTCTGGGGCCTCAGGGTGAGGTGGGGGCAGGTGGTTTTGTGAGGTCAGAGCCTGTAAGGGGTGGGCTGAGGGTGGGCAGCAGCAGCGAAGGAAGGAGGCTGCAAAGGAGAGCCTTCAGCCCGCGGAGGCGCCTGGGGCCCCAGCAGTAGAAGGCGGGGTTTAAAAGCAGCATGAAGTTGGACTACTCTCAGCTCACCTGGCCATAAAGAGCAGTCCTGGAACTGGACCTTACACCATGGGCCCTTTGAACATTATAGCCCCTGAAACAGCCATTGCTCTAAGCGCAGTCACTCCTCCAAACAGTCCGTCTAGCCCGTTCTTCAGACAGACTCTCAGGGCACCTCTGGGGATCCCTTAGGTGCCAAGTCTCTGGGATGCTGCTAGAAAAGGCTGAAAAATCCCTGCTCTCTCTGGCAGGAGCAGATCAAAGTCCTTTAAGTCTCCAGATGAGGAGCGGAGGGCAGAAGTGGCCGCGGGCTCCTTTGGCATTCTAGGGTCTTCAGCTCCCGCCACCTCCTCGCCCCCGGGCAAGGGGGACCCTTGGCACCTAGACATTGGCTTTTCTGGTCATGAAAGACGTCTGCTCTCCAGACCTCCCCCTCCTCCCGGCCCCCTCCTTTCCTACAGGGCAGGTCACTCCTCCCAGATCCCGGATTCCAACACGCAGATCCCCTGAGCCTCGAGCCTGAGAAATGCCCTGCCGGCTCCTCTGGAGCCCATGGTCCCCCCCACCCCCAGCCTAAGTACTCCCAAGTCTCCGACCTGCCAGGCCCCTTTCCGGGGTCGCCTCCCGGGGAGGCCAGTGGGTCTCCGAGCGCCCTCCCCTTACCTAAGGAGCTCCACCGGGCCAGCTCGGCGGCGTCGCAGGCGGGGGCCACGAGCCAGGCCCCCGGCGCAGAGCAGCGGCAGGACGGCCCACATCGTGGCGATGGCAGCAACTTGGCCGGCGCACTGGCTCCGAGCGCCCGCGGGGGTGGCGGCCAAAAGCTGCCTCGGGAGGGCCGGGCGGGGCGGGGCGGGGCCGGGCCAGGGGCGGGGCCATGCGGCAGGGGCGGAGCCATGCGGCAGTAGGGGCGGGGCCAGGCGGCAGGCATCCTTAGGCTCCGGCTCGCGGGAGAAGTCGCGCCTCCGACTATCCTTTAAATATCGCCTCATACCTCACCCTCTTCTCACCGCCCACCTCCCTCCCTCGCCACATCACTCCCCTTTCTCCTCCTCTGCAAGGACCGGCAAGCTGGATCGCCTGGTCTGTCGGGGTCCTCGATCTGTAGGAACTGGCAGGCACCGTGGGCAGGGGTGCTGCCTGTCCCCACCCTTAAAGCCCCCGTCTCCCTGCCTGTCCCCACCCCCAGAGCTCTCATCTCTCTACCTGTCGCCACTCCCAGAGTCTTCATCTCCCACTCTCATAAACCACATTCCCCTGGTTGTCACTTGTGCCTTGGAGTGAATTTAACTGGACGAGGGAGACAGCTGTCTTTGTGAGTTTGGTTTTTTTTCTTCCCACAACAGGGATTTTAGTATTTCTGCTGAGAAAGTCGTATTAGCAGCTCTAGGGCCACTTTCTCTATTTTACAAATCTGAAAGAAAAAAAAGAAGATGATTTATTAGAGTCTGGGTGTCAGATAAACAAGTAGAGCAATGAACATTTCAACTAAGGAAACGTGTACAGGGATTGCTTCAGTGGAGAGGCGACGGCGGCTGAGACCTGCTTGTTATTTATTTAAGTTTTTTAAAATTATTATTTTGGGGGAGAGGTAATTAGGTTTATTTACTTATTTATTTTAGTGGAGGTACTGGGGATTGAACTCAGGACCCGTGCATGCATGCTAAGCACACACTCTACCACTGAGCTCTACCAACCCCTATTCCCGACTGACACCCACCTATAACAACCTTTCAAGCACCCAGTGGGACCAAGTTCTTCACTTAATCATCATCCTGCCAAGTGGAAGTTTGTTGACCTCCCATTTTATAGATGGGGAAACTGAGGCTCCAAGAGTCGATAGTCGCAGTCCCAGTAAGCGTGCAGAGGAGTTTGAATCCAGCTTTGACCTACTGCCGTTGCTCCTTCTGCTCTTTTGCAGCCCAAGGCGTTTTGGTGTAGTCAGAGCCTGTCAGGTCTGAGCTCTCTCATTTCTCCCTCCCTCAGACAGGAGGAAACCTGATTCTCAGCCCAGGCTCTGCCTGTGAGGCCCCGGGGGAGCAGATTCTTGCACTTCTTTCCTGGAGTTGAGTAGTGAGTCTGGGTACAGCTCTGGAATCTGCACTTAAAGGGCCTCAGGGTGATTGCTCAGGACTGCAGTGTGGACACTGTGTCTGTGGGAAGATTAGCAGTGCCAGTAGACACTGTCTTTTCCAATAAAGCTGATCTTCGTTTATGAATAGCCCTGTCTGGATGCCTGTTGGGTGTACTTTGAGGCAAATGTCTCTGTAAAGGCCCTGCATGGTTGCTATTTGGGAAGTGAAGTCCCTGGCTTTGGAATAAATGTGTCCAGCCTCTGCGATGTCCTATCCTTCAGGTATGCGGGGACCATCTCATTTTTCTGCCCATCCCTGCCACCTGGAGCGTGGCAGGACTTAAGGCCCTAATATTAGACATCAAACCCTGAACTTGTTCTGATGCTGGGTCCCCAGTGACCCTCCTTTTTGGATCATTCCAAAGGGCCTGAGATGGGGTGATGCAATGTGAAGGTACTGACCTGGTCGGTTTCAAACTAATGTTTGGTTCTAGTCCTACCATAGATGCACTGTGGGACCTAAGCCAGTGGTTTGCCCCCAGTGAGCCTCAGTTTTCTCATCTGTAAAATGGGAATAGGTGCCTTGCTTTCCAGGGTGATTCAATACAGTTACACAGTTTAGTTATAGGTAAAACACCTGGCCCCAAGCGTGGCACTGTAATAGTGACTCACCCCACGTAGGAGCTCTGTCTTGGGCTCTCTGCCCTTTGTTGCCTGCACCCGCTTTCACGTTAAGTCCATCTGCCCCTCTAGCTCCAGCTGGGCATCACCTCTGTGAGGGTTTCTCTGTAGTCCTGGACCTCTGTATTTCGAGAGAGGGGATGCTGAGGACTGGTGCTGGTAACAGAGCCTTACTGGACCAGGGGCTTTGGGCAGAATTCTAAAGTTTCCATCCCTGGTTATTCAAACACAATCTAGGTACTGCTGGGAAGGGACTTTGCAGATGGAATTAAGGTTTCGAATCAGGTGAATTTAAAGACTATCCTGGAATGTCTGAGGTGCCCTGATGTCATCATGGGCGTTCTTCAAAGCAGAAGAGGAAGTCAGGAGAGTCAGAGAGAGGAGGAAGCAGAGGGAGGTCAGAGAGCTTTGAACCATGAGAAGGACTCTACCCACCCCTGCTGGCTTTGATGGGGGCCTTGAGCCAAGGAACGTGAGTGGCTGTTAGAAGCTGAGAACAACCTTAGCCCAGGGCCAGCAAGGAAACGGAGACCTCAGTCCCACAGCTGCGTGAGGCCAAATTCTGCCAACCATCTGAATAAGCTTGGAAGCAGGTTCACCCCCAGAGGATCCCGAAAGGAAGGCAGCCTGGCTGAGCCCTTGCTTTCAGCAGCGTGAGACCTGGAGCAGAGGAACCAGCCAAATCTACGTAGGCTTCTGACTTCCAGACTTGTGAGATAATAAATTTGTGTTGTTTTAAGCCTCTAAGTTTGTGGTAATCTCATACCCAGCAACAGGAAACTAGTACATTGGGTGAAATGCCTAGGCTGATGGGTGCCTCTGGTGACAGAGGGCCGGGTGTGGTCTCAGGCTCTGGTGCCCAGTTTTTGCACGTCTGGAATCTGGGAGGCTAAGAGAGGAGAGCAGGTCTTATCCTCCACACTCGGCAGTCCACACCTCCTCCAGGGATGTGTTAGACTCAGTGCCATGCACTTTACATGAATAAACTTTCTTAATTCTATTCCCTCCACCCCTGCCCATGATATAAATGAGGTGATTGAGGGACTTAAGTAACTTGTCTAAGGCCACTCAACTAATAAGTAAGAGAGCTGGGGTTTGAACCCCTGGCCAGCTGAGTCCAGAGTTTCCCACAAGTGGAGGCATCTGCTCTGTGGAAGCAGGTGGATGAAAGAGAACACTGAGGCCAGCACACTTTTCTAACTCTCCCTGAGGCATCGGGGGGAGGGGGGTCAGGCATCCAACCAGCCACAGCTCCTGGACCTCCCAGTCCATGCCTGGATACAGAATGCCTCCTGCTTACCGTTCTAGGAGTCTACCCTGCCTTCATTTATCCTTTTTCCTTAGGCCAAATCTGCTGGTCATCACTCCCTTCCTGCCAGAACTTTATCCCCTCCCCAGCTGTTACCTACAGGTTTAACTGGTTTTCCAGATCACCCGTCAGAGTCAACATCCTGGCAGGAAACCTGGGCCCCTCACCAGATTTATTTCTGCCCTCTACTGCTAGCATCTTATAATAATAATAATAATGATTGCCATAACAATATAATAACTACCATTTACATAGATGTTGTTCTTTAATGCTCATGACAACCCTGTGAAGTTTCTTTGAAAATACCCACACCCACTTCCTAGATGAACAAATTAGATTTGGAGAAGTTAAGGAGGTCTGTTGGTAAGTGATGGAGCTCTTCTCACATCCACATGCTCATTTTACAAAGTAGGTAAGCAGAGGACTCGTTAAGTAGTTTGGGTGGATGACGGTCTGTAGGGACGCCTGTATGGATGAATGGATGGAAGGAGGGATGGATGGATATATGGGAAAATGGCTTTATGGCTGAATGACTAAATGGATGGTTGGTTGGAAAGAAGGAAGGATGAATGGATGGATGGATGGATGAATGGATGCACGGGTAGTTGGATGGGTGGATGGGTAGAATGATGGATCGATGAATGTAGAGATGAGTGACCAGAGAGTTTGAACAGTGGGAAATGTAATGAATGCAGGAGGTATATAACTCTGCCTCAAAGGGCAACTTTGGTTGGATTGTAACATGAACTTGGACCTCTTGTTAGTTTCATTGTTGATGGGTAGACATCCTGCTTAGCCATCTCAGTTATTTCCCTTCTGTGGGTCAGAGAAGTAGGCCTGAATATGTCCTCCCAACTGCGTAAGAAGGCGTTGTTTGTCCCCAAGAAGTCAGGAACGTGGAAACCACCACCTCTTTGGTTAAGCTCTGAAGATGCTGGGCTCACAGCCAAGGAAGTGTGAAAGTTTGCAGAAAACCCCAGAAGCTGTGTTTCATCATAGCCATCATTGGGGTGAATGCAGCAGGGTTATATATGTGAATATGGGGTTAGTGCAATTGCTTTATTTATTAAAATGTGATATTTTTCATCACAGATTTTTTGCATTAATTTTTTATATTTTAAAATATTGCATTAAAATATTATTTATCTTGATTACTGGGTTTTTTGGCACTCCCTTAAATTTTGCACCTGAGGGGTATGTCCCACTTCTTTCACCATTGTCCTGACCCTGTGAAGGAGCACCCGTTTCTAGACTATTCTGTACTCCCGTGCAGGGGGACCTTATCCCTGTTCAGTTGGCGTCACTCTTGGGGAAGGCGGGAGCTCAGGGGCTGGAGTGTGTCTGCCCCCAGGGACTCATTCACTCACTTGTTGTTCACAAATTCTCACTGTCTACACTTCTTTGTTGTCACTTAAGACTTTCTATGTTGTATCCCTCTTCTGCCTGCAGTCCTCACCACCACTGCACTCCTCATCAGTCCACCAGTGAGCTCCAGGTCCTGGGCGCAGCCCCACCTCCATTCCTTTCCTCCCGCCTTGTTCTCTCTCCTCCACAGAAACTTCCTCTTCCTAAACTCTTGAATTAATAACCTGTACCACACACTGTTATACGTTATCCTGTACTATTTTGGAGAGTGTCCTGTAGAGCTGCTTGGTTTTCAGCCAGTTTGCGCCCTGTGTGAGCAGGACATTCTTGACTTCCCTTCCCGG